ATGCTGGCTGGGGGATTCTGGGAATTGAAGTCCACTCGTCTTAAAGCGGCCACAGTTAAGAAACACTGGTGTAGAGACATGTAAAGGTTTACATTAAGCCTTGGGTTGCTTAATACAGTAGCAGTTAGTTAAACAAGAACGAATGTGGTATAATAATAATTATTGTTTAATATTTTGAAATAGCTATTTAATCACAACTCCAGCATGCCTCCCAATTAATGAATAATTAATAGATGTATTGTTTCATAATGTATTAAACTTGTATGCTGCCTGATTCTCAGCGACCACTTGGTATGGTGGAAAAGGTATTGGACTAAGACGGGAGGGCTGATTAAAGTCCCCCTTTTTCCAGAAACTCATTGGAGACTTAGAACCAGTTGCACACATTCTTTTGGCTCAGCCTACCTCAGAGGGTTGTTGTTGGGTAGGTGAAATGAAAGTCGAGCCTTGAACCTAGGACACTGAACACGGACAGTTTTGCAGCTCATGCAAGTCTAGCTAATATTTTTGCCAGTTTTTAGTTTTTTCCCCCCTCTTTTGTACTTTGGTGGATTAACCTTGCTATGTTCTGGGGAAAATACTTCTCAGTGTATATGTTTTTGGCATTTTTCTTTTTAGATCCAGGGTATTTATTGCTAGAAAAGTACACAGGCAGTCAAGAAAGAGATTAAACTTGGCATCGGTTAAACATGTCACTTCCAAAGATATTTCCAAAATGTAAGATCTTTTTTCAAAAAAATCTGTTTTACTGTCTTCGGCGGAAGGAAAATTCACCCAGGAATGTTTATGACAAAGTGGTTAACATTGACATGGTGATAGCCAAGCATCTTGGCTGGCTGAAGTCTGTAGACTGAAAGGAATGTTCTCTGGGTGTAGAAAAATGTCCAAAGCTTTCCTAGCTATAACTTCTTTTTTTTTTTTTAAAGCATTTCTTTTAAAATAGTAAATCCCATTGAGATATTCAGCTTTTGGCCAGGCACTATGATTCTCCATGCTGGTGAGAAAGGCTAGAAGTGAAAATCCCACACATCTATCTGGAGGGAGCTGGGTCAGAGAGGGCTGAATGGTGGTGAAATCCCCCAGATCTTGGTTTAATGTCACATCAAAGTTGCCTCTGTTTTGTTCCGGCCTTTGTTCATCAAATTAGCTAATGAGCATGGAGAAACATGTGCATCGCTTATTATTGCTGAGGACAAAAAAGGAACAATTGGAATCTCCTTTCCAACCTGCAATTTATGGATAAGCAGCTTTGGCTTGCAGTTCTGATCCTTAAGAGGCACATTATGTTTTTCCTGGGGAGGAAGGGGGGGGGGGCATCCTGCTGCTTCTCTGCGCATGGGTTTTCTTTATCTCCTACAATCTGCTCGTGATTTCCTCCCCTTCCTGTTGGGGAGAGGGAACGCGCGAGGACATTGGTACAGTATTGCTTCCTTTTGTCTGCATGAAAAGGGGATTTGTTCTGCCAGAAAGGAATTCTCCCCAAGCTTAAAGAGAAACTGATTTTGTTGGGGCCGAGGGAAAACACTTTGGGGTTCACTCCTGCCGATGCTGCAGTTAGATTTTATAGGGCTGAATCAGGGCCCTTTATTTCTTGTTTTGTTTTATTGTTTAAATTCCATGCATGTGGAGGTCCTGAGTAGTTGTCTCCAACCGTCCACATTCTTTTGTTAAATATATACATGAAACCACTGTGGGAGGGTTGGTTTGGGATGAGGAATCATCCGTATGTGGATGATTCCCAGCTGTCCATCTCCAACCCAAGAGGAGATGTGGGCTTGAAGTGTGCTTGGAGACTGTGAGAGCCTGGATGAGGCAGGATGGTTGACTCTCAGGAAGATGGAGGGACTATTGGTTAGAAGACCTCTGGTTCCAAGATAGCTCCATCGTTGGTTCTAGGTGGGGTGGCACTATGTCTGGAAGAGGAGATATGCAACTGGGGTCTTCCTGGACTTGTAGCTCCTGTAAGAGCTGGAGGCGGAAACCATGACCTGGCATGATTTTTGCCTGGATTTTGCTAATGCTCCAGTCGTGACCAAGAAGCTTTGGCAACAATGAGTCATGCCTTTCTCAACATGATTGGATTACTGTAGTTTGGTCAACCTGGGATTGCCCTTGATGATGATTCAGAGGCTAGAGCTGGGGGAGAAGGAGTCCACATCACCACTTGCTGAGTAGCAGAAGCCAGAGTAGCTGGCTGATGTTATATCTTGCTCAAGCTACATTGGCTACTGCTGGGCTTCTGGGTCTAACCCAAGGTGCTGGTTCTTACCTGCGAAGCCCATTATGGTTCTGCTCCTTGATACTGACTCTAGAATCTACTTGTCCAATATGTGCGGGCTGAGAGGTGCTGCTGCTGATACCTGTTCTCCTCTTGGCAGAAGGTATCCAGAAGTAGACTTTTTCAGTCAGAGACCCTTTACTCTGGAAGAGTCCCCTTGGCTAGAATGAGCCCTCGGTGACTATCATTTTGTAGAGCAGGAGAAGCAGCACTTTCTCAAAAATCTTTGGAGAAGGGTGGAAGAGGACCCAAGTAAAGAGTGTATTATCAGGGATGCTCCCATATCATTTGTCCTGACTCGTGATGGAGTGGCAGTTCTGTTTTTATGCTGTGTATTTGTTTGGTTGTAAGCCACTTAAGAGTCCTGTGATGAAGTGGCCTATCCATTTGGTTAAATCAATAAATAAACACCAGTTAAGCCAGCAGTATCAAAGATGTGGGTTCAGACATGGTGGGCCCAACTCTTGATAGTATTTCAGAAGCTGACTCTGTTCCTGGGGGGTCTTTCTCTTCTTTGTTTTCAGGCTGCCTTGGATTTCGTGGTGGAGGAAGATTTGAAAGCCCACCTGACATGTTGGTATATTCAGAAATACGTCAAGGAGAACCCCCTGCCACAGTATCTGGAACGTTTACAGTCTTAACACAGGCAAGCGGGAGAGCCTTGTTTGAAGATGGCAGCCAGGCCTGCTGTTGACTCTCCTTTGCCTCCAAGCTGTCGTGGGGACCCCTGACCTGCCTCTGCACATGCTCAGAGTTCCTACTTTCGAACAGACCAAATGGCATGATTTCTCAACGATGCTTCCAACCAGCTCTCCTCATGGTTTGGCTGACCTAGCATATTACGGTTTGCGTTTGCCTTTTCTTCCACGGGAAACCGTCAGGTGTCAAAGTAGACCTCCTGAGGGTTTTATTAACTTTTGGCAATAGAAGGGATGGGGTGGGTCAGGTCTTCCTTCCCGAAGGAATGAGTGTTGAGCAAAAGGAGGTGAGCTTGGCAGCTGTTGGCTTGTTAACCTGCAGCAGCGTTGAGAAGACCGAAGCCAAGCTATGGGCCTCCAAGGGGATCTTTGGACACCTGGCTACGTCGGCCACGTGGGAACGTGCAGGCTAGACTCAGAGGCGAAAGCAAGATGCTAAATGCAATAAATGTTGCGCTCTGGCAATGAGATCTCACAGGCCCGGTGTGCCTGTCGAAACATGGACTGAAGTGGAGAAAGGACTTTCACTGAGTGGGGCGTCTGCTCAGCCGAGCTGCAAAGGGTAATGTGATGATCTGGGGTTTTTTTGCAGGGGGTGAATGAGAGGGTTAGAAGGATTCTACTGACCATCTCAGAAGAAAGGGGCTGGCATAGCTTTTTATAACACTTTGGTGGAACTTCCCTCCCCCCTTGATCTCTTCTCCTCTGGTGGGGGACGTTTCCTGTTATACAGAATAAGAAAAGCAAATTTGAGGTGAAGGGATGAGAGGAACAGACCTAGTGAACGGTGAGTGTGGTGCCTCTGCTCAACACACGGTGGGCATCTCCAACCGGAGCAGAATCTTGACTCAAGCCATTTTTTTTTTTAAAAGGATCCATAACGCAGACAGTGCAAGTCAGGTGGAATCCTACCAGCGGAACGGCCAGGGATCTGGTGGGGTGCTTTGAGATTCGTTGGCAAACCGGTTCAAAAAAAGAGGAGTCTGAAGCGGGTGGTTCTACTATGGTTGGCTTTCTAGCTGCGGTCAAAGTCTCAGCATCTCACATCCTTCGCTTCTGGCTATGATGGCTGGGGGCAGCTGGGGAGAGTAGTCAGAAACATACAGAGCGCCGCTGATTGGCTGTTTCTACCAGAGCACC